GTCTAGAGTTTTAAACAAATATTTCAGCTTCACAAATAACTTTTATAGTAGAAACTTTGTGTACTACATGTCAGTCTGTATATAAATACAATTAACCTCACTACGAGGCTCATCATTGACACACAATTTTTCTATACAGCAAGGTCCATTCAATTTGCAACATTAGTCATTTGATTGCATAAACAGGCCTGCACAACATACGACCCGTGGGCCTCAGTACGACCCGCCAGGGCACACTTTGCGGCCCGCGAAGTAACGAAATATTCTTTTTTATTTATTATTTTCTTAATAGCTTTTCCCCCTTTCCTATTTTCTTTTGGTGCGCACAAGATTTTTATAAAGCATCTCTGCCCGCCTCAAATTTTGAGTTGTGCAGTGATGACATAAGGATTGATTTTTTTAAACTTATTACTAAATGTGTTCGAAAAGGGATGAAACTTATATTTATTTATTTCTTTGTTTCTTTGTTCTGATTATGTCTCTTTTGGGTGATAACATCTTTTCTTTATGACAAGAATGTGTCTTCTATTTTTGTGTGGTTTTTTAACCGATCTAGGCAATGGAGTCACCGCATCACCTATGAATTAATTGTGTTTAATAGAGTTCTTGTAGTCTTTTAATTTAAAAAGAAAATAGATTCGCCAAAATCAGAGTATTATGATAAATGGTGTTTTGATATGGATCTGTGGGAGAGGTCACTAATGCTTGAGAACACAGACGATAGTGTGGTTTTAGCAATCCCAAATTAGTTGAACCCTTGTCAGCATATCATCTCTCTCTCTCTGCGTATCTAGTGAGCCCAAGGGAAGATCACGTGCAGAGGCGTAGTGAGAGTGTTTGGCGCCCGGGGACAAGATCCATTTTAAAGCGCCCCTTTTCTCTTTTTCAACTCTCAAACGCATTATTTTTACCAATAATATAATATCAAAGCACATTTTGGCGCCCCTAACTAGCTTGCGCCCGGGGACATCTGTCCCCTTGCCCCCCCCCTCGCTACGCCTCTGATGACGTGGATGCTACAGCTTGGCACTATGGGGTGTCCAAGAAGTTGCCGCCATTGTCATACCACCTACGGGACCACATCTCCAGGGTTGCATTCAGAATTTTTCTGAACTGCCATCCAAGGTTAACCAGTGGTGGTGCTGTTTTTGCTTGTCTGTGTTTGTTTGTCTGTCTTTGCGTGTCTGTGTTTGCTTGTCTGTGTTTGTTTGTCTGTTTGTTTGTCTGTGTTTGTTTGTCTGTGTTTGCTTGTCTGTGTTTGCTTGTCTGTGTTTGCTTGTCTGTGTTTGTTTGCTGTGTTTGTTTGCATGTGTTTGTTTGTCTGTGTTTTTTTGTCTGTGTTTGCTGCGGATTGAACTCAGATCTACACTTTTGGACAACAATGACCTCAGAGCTAATTAATTTACCCATAAAAAGTGAATTTTACAATTTAAAAACTATGTGGGCGTTTATTCTTTACCTTTATCACCACTATGTCATTACTTTGTCATTACTTTGTCATTACTTTGTCACTACTTTGTCATTACTTTGTCATTACGTTTCATGACTTGGTCATGACTTTGTCATTACTTTGTCATAACTTTGTCATTATTTTGTCATTACTTTGTCATTACTCTGTCACTACTTTGTCATTACTTTTTCACCACTTTGTCACTACTTTGTCACCACTTTGTCACTACTTTATCACCACTTTATCATTACTTTGTCACCACTTTATCATTACTTTGTTACCACTTTGTCACTACTTTATCACCACTTTGTCATTACTTTGTTACCACTTTGTCATTACTTTGTCACCACTTTATCAATACTTTGTTACCACTTTGTCACTACTTTGTCACCACTTTATCATTACTTTGTCACCACTTTATCATTACTTTGTCACCACTTTGTCACTACTTTGTCACCACTTTGTCACTACTTTGTCACCACTTTGTCACTACTTTGTCACCACTTTGTCACTACTTTGTCACCACTTTATCATTACTTTGTCACCACTTTGTCACTACTTTGTCACCACTTTGTCACTACTTTGTCACCACTTTGTCACTACTTTGTCACCACTTTATCATTACTTTGTCACCACTTTATCATTACTTTGTCACCACTTTGTCACTACTTTGTCACCACTTTGTCATTACTTTGTTACCACTTTGTCATTACTTTGTCACCTCTTTATCAATACTTTGTTACCACTTTGTCATTACTTTGTCACCACTTTATCAATACTTTGTTACGACTTTGTCATTACTATGTCCCCACGTTTGTCATTACTTTGTCATTACTTTTTCACCACTTTGTCACCACTTTGTCACCACTTTGTCACCACTTTGTCACCACTTTGTCACCACATTGTCAAGTGTTAAGCTATTATTATGCAGGTATTGCTCAGTAAGATTAACTTAATCAAAATTAAAGCGTTCACCACCCGCTCACAGAGAAACGTGAAATCACTGACTGCAAGGAAAAGACTTTCTCCTTTCTCTCGTGTGTCAAAATTTTCAAGGGTCCAGTATTGTTATTACCAGTATTTATATTATTATAGTTCGTCCTTCGCATGCGAAGACGACCAAGGCTTCGACTTGACCAGCAGCCTTGAATTGAGTAGTAGCCTTGACGTCAGTAGAAGCCTTAACTTGGGTAGTAGCCTTGTCTTGATTAGTAGCCTTAACTTTGAGCTATATTTCGTTTAGTGAGAGGTGCTCAATTCGTCTGCATCAATCTCTCGTACTTGCCTATCTGTTGCAATGGCAAGACTTCAAGACGCCTAGGAAAAGACTAGGATGCAGTAGCTGACAGGTAGTGTCTTTTATGTCTTGTAGGTGACCAGCCGTGTGTCTCCTGTGTCTTGTAGATGACCAGCAGTGTGCCTCGTGTGTCTTAGAGATGACCAGCAGTGTGCCTCGAGTGTCTTGTAGATGGTCAGCCGTGTGTCTCCTGCGTCTTGTAGATGGCCAGCAGTGTGTCTCCTGTGTCTTGTAGATGGCCAGCAGTGTGTCTCCTGTGTCTTGTAGATGGCCAGCAGTGTGTCTCCTGTGTCTTTTAGATGGCCAGCAGTGTGCCTCCTGTGTCTTGTAGATGGTCAGCCGTGTGTCTCCTGTGTCTTGTAGATGGCCAGCAGTGTGCCTCCTGTGTCCTGTAGATGGCCAGCAGTGTGTCTCCTGTGTCTTTTAGATGGCCAGCAGTGTCTCTTGTGTCTTGTAGAAGGCCAGCAGTGTGTCTCCTGTGTCTTATAGATGGCCAGCGTGGTGTCTCCTGTGTCTTGTAGATGGCCAGCAGTGTATGTGTCTTGTAGCGGGCCCGCCGTGTCTCTTGTGTCTTGTAGAAGGCCAGCAGTGTGTCTCCTGTGTCTTATAGATGGCCAGCGTGGTGTCTCCTGTGTCTTGTAGATGGCCAGCAGTGTGTCTCCTGTGTCTTGTAGAAGGCCAGCAGTGTGTCTCCTGTGTCTTATAGATGGCCAGCGTGGTGTCTCCTGTGTCTTGTAGATGGCCAGCAGTGTGTCTCCTGTGTCTTTTAGATGGCCAGCAGTGTGTCTCCTGTGTCTTTTTGATGGCCAGCAGTGTGTCTCCTGTATCTTTTATATGGCCAGCAGTGTGTCTCGTGTGTCTCACCACCACACAGACGCATGATGAGCACTCCGGAGTTTTTTCTTCTTTTTTAAATAGTCTTTTCACAGAAAAGAATGGAGAAAAAAAAATTATCTCAAGAGTACCATGAAAGGTTGCACGTGATGTATTCTCAGTAAATATGAGTGCTGACCACAAAAGTTAGTGAATGACCCGCACATCAATTAAAAACGCGTTAAAGTTATTTCTTCTTCAGTACTACGGGATTATAAGGCTTTTTACGCCTCCATGAATTCACGACATTGTGGGACCATTATCGTCACCATGAGCTCGGTCAGTCCATCCCATCACGTCCAGTTTTCTTTTTAAAGAATGTCATAGGTAAGGTTATCATTGAAAAGGAAGCAAAACGTCATAGAGACACTTCTGTCATTTCAGCTCACCCATCGTGGATTTTCACGTGTCTGCTTACCTCTGATGTCTGTTACTGTGTGATTAGCAGGTTGGATGTCATTGTGTGATAGGCAAGATGGGATGTCATTGTGTGATAGGCAAGGTGGGATGTCATGGTGTGATAGGCAAGGTGGGATGTCATTGTGTGATAGGCAAGGTGGGATGTCATTGTGTGATAGGAAAGGTGGGATGTCATTGTGTGATAGGCAAGGTGGGATGTCATTGTGTGATAGGAAAGGTGGGATGTCATTGTGTGATAGGAAAGGTGGAATGTTATTGTGTGATAGGCAAGGTGTGATTTCATTGTGTGATAGGCAAGGTGTGATTTCATTGTGAGATAGGCAAGGTGTCCTATGATTGTGTGATAGGCAAGGTGTGATGTCAGTGTGTGATAGGCAAGGTGTGATTTCATTGTGTGATAGGCAAGGTTATGTTGTCGTGTGATAGGCAATGTGTGCTGGCATTGTGTGATATGCAAGGTATTATGTCAGTGTGTGATAGGCCAAGTTAAGTTGTCCTGTGATAGGCAAGGTGTGATGTCGAACATGATTTCAAAATACAATTTGTAAGATACATTTTATTTTTGTATGTTTATATTTACATCATACAGTTATTGACGGTTTTGATATCTCCCTGAAATGGGTGTTCGGAGCGACTCCCCCTTCTCGCCCCTTAATATAAATAGACACGAATATGCACTTTCATATTCAATTGTATCAACATGTGACACTATTACAACTATATCATGATACTAAAAGTAAAATTAACTACACATAAACAAATTCAAGAGCCAAAATAAAATGCTAAGATTTTAGGTTTGAAAAATCTTTTAAAATAATTTCAAATATGAAGTCTTACTGACGCTATAATACTACCTTTTTAAAAGCACAAACAAATTATTGCATAGTTAAATCATGTTAACAATTCACTGTGATGAAATAGATTTTAATGGAAAAACTAATAGAAATAAAACAGGATGTGCTATAATTGTTTGACCATTCAACATTTACAACACTGTCTGAACTTTGTGTTGTACTTGTAGTAGATGAAAACATTCGCAGCCGATATGTACAACTCAAAGTGTTCTCTCCCTTTGATGATGACCTCGTAGAGGTTTTGATACAACCCACCCGGAGCCATTTCCGGTACTACGGCGACCGCCAGAAAAACGATAATCTTGGGCGTGTTGGCCACTATGTAGATGACCGAGATGAGGGTCACCTGTTTGATGACCTGCAGCTCCTTGCCACTGAGCCTGCTCGCCGTCTTCGCGTCGTTCGGGAGTTTACCGTGGCTCAAATCCGTCTTCTCGGACAGCGTGCCGTTCTTCAGTTTGTCCCGCGTGACCACCGCGTCGGACAGCGCCTTCGCCATGACGACAACGCAGATGACGAGGATGATCTGGGAGGCGATGGCGAGGAACGAGTCCCTGGCGTTCCACGTGATGTTCTTCACCAGGTCCCGGAACGGCGCGAACCAGATCAGGCGCCGAGTGGCGTTGACGTTCGCGTCGAACTTCTCAACGATCCCCATGGTGGTGAACATCGGGACGTACGTCAGGAGGGAGAAGACGCAGATCCCGATCATGACGCGAAAGGTCCTCGACACGGAGAACACGTTCTTGAAGCTGAGCGGTCTGACCACGCACATGCACTTGGCCACCGCGAGGTACGTGGTGATCAGCACGGGCATCGCGAAGAGGCACGTCCGGATATTTCCGAAGAATATGTTGAAGGCGTACGGCTGTACGTAGAACCATATCCTGTAGCCCGACGCCATTTCCGTCGTCCACAGCGCCATGGACAGCTTCTGGCCAAGTGCGTCCAGACAGCAGAGCAGCTCGGACGCCGAGAGGAACAGGAAGGACACAGTGACACCGTCGTCGGCCCCCATGGCCAGGAAAGTTTTGATGTTGACGACATTCGTGATGATGCCCACTGTCGAGAGGATGATGTCCACGCACGAATACATTCCCATCCACGCGCTGAAGTCGCTCTGTGTGACGAGAGTGTTGACAAAAGAAGGGTTTACGACGTTCGCGGCGTCGGTTATGTTTCCTCCGCCACTCCCAATTACTGTAAGACTTTGGTTAGTCTGATCCATCATTTTCATAATGGATTATTTTCATATATATATTATTTTTTTTACAGTAAGTTTATATTTAAGAATTGGATTTCAATCAATTTAAAATATAACAGACCAATAAAATGTAGAGCATCAGCCATATAGCAATATATGTCATAATATCATTTGCACTTTCAGACAGATCGCGATATATGTAACAATTAAATGTGCGATCTCAGCCAGATGGCACCATATGTCACAATTAAATGTGCACTATCAGCCAGATGGCAATATATATCATAATTAAATGTGTACCATCAGCCAGTCGGAAATATATGTCACAAATTAAATGTGCACTATCAGCCAGACGGCAATATATGTCACAATTAAATATGCACTATCAGCCAGGCGGCAATATATGTAGCAATAAAATACGAGTAGGGAAACTCAGTCGTTCTATGGATAAGAGTTCTGCTCGGATGGACACCATGAACACAGTTATAGAATAAATACACAATTTGGTTTGCGGTTTTAATCGTCAGAATGTGTAACTGTTTAAGCTTTTTAACTGTTTTTTTCGCCCTTATTGTGAGCAGCGTGTAGTGAACACACACTTTAAATAGTTTCATTAAAAGCCTGCACCGGGAACGGCAGTGTATACGTTTTAAAAACATAAATTTGATCAGCTTGAAATTGTCTGCGGTCTGTGTCTGAGTCCTGCCAATGTTCCAGGCAATGTTGTTTATGAAAGCACTGATCGAAATATTTACAAGATTTAGGTTATTAAAATTGTCTGCGTTAAAAAATATTAGAAGTATTCTCTTTTTTCGTACAGCATAATAACTATTTCAAGAATAGTGAACAGAAATATCAAGTCTCTTATGAAGGGAACCACTTCTAAATCCAATGTAGAACTTATTATTTTAATTTTTATGGACCACAATCTTTTGGATAAAGATATCGCATGGACTTCCGGTATGGAGTTCAACAAGTTTGTATCAAGAGATGCTTGCGCTTTATATGACAAATAATTTGTTCGCCATGGAATGTCAGACATTTAAATTTTAAGTTGTTCATGTCAACGTCTTGACTATTTGGTTTCCATTAAAATAATAAAGCTAAATGTGATAAATGGATTGTGGAGTGTCGGTGATATGGATGATAATGATATGATGATACAAAACTTTGCTCAAGGACTGAGAAATCGAGTGCATTGTAATTTCAAGATAAATAGTTATAAGCCTATTAAAATAAAACTTAAAAGTTGGTTTATCTATCACAGTCCTACACGTTCACTTTGAGTAAATAAATTACCAATTTGGCTAAAAAAGTCTTATTTAAATAGATTCTCTTTTTTTTCCCACTTTCTTGTGACACGACGCCTGGGGTAGGGGCGGGTAGGGGAGTCACACAGAGCAGACGCTGGATCCATTTATTTTCTTTTTCCTTTTTTTTTTTTTTTGACTCACGACAATTCGATAAAACTAAAGCTCATGTAATGAATCAATTTCCACATTAATGAAATGCATTATAAAATGTTTCGTTCCGTTACACCACTAAATGACTTAATTGCTATTGTATTAAACTGTATGCGTGATTTCTGAACTGTTATTTTTTTTTTTCAAAAATGAACCACCGTTTTTTTTAAATTCCAAGCCACTTTGGCAACCTATTAACGTTACCTTATAATTACTGATCAATGTTGAAACGGTGGGTGATTAAGGCTGTTGTGGTTAGCACGGTGCGATGATCTTTAGGATAATGATCACTTTCTAAACTGTTCCGTGCCGGGCCCCCACTGACTAATAACATGTCTTGCAGCGTTCAAAACGTCAATCTGCCGTGTAATTCTATGGGTAAGGGAGGGGAGGGGGGTGTTAAGATCACTCTGAACGTCACGGTGTGGGGGAAAAAAAGACTTCCTAATTTGTGAAATTATGAGGTGTCCGTTGAGGATACGCGCGAATGGCGGCACTGATAATCTCCAATGGAGACATGCCAAGATGGCACTGTAGGCGATTTGCCAGAGTCAAGTCTGTGTAGTGGAAAGGATGCAATGCAATCAGTGAGGCTTTTCTGTTCGGACCAAGGATTTTTTTTCTTTTTAAATTGGCTTTAAAATGCGATCGATTGTTTAGCGTCACGTGATCATAAAGCAGACTGTCAAAATTTGAAAAAAACTTGATGAGATGGGATTTGACGTGACAAAAATTTGTTATGCTTTGCCTGTCGGTCAACATTTCACTCAGAGAAAGGCTGACAACTCCAGCCGCAACGTTTCCCCGCAGCTCTTGATAAGGAAACACAGAGCGTGAAATATAAAGCTTATTTCAACTTATTGTGTTCAACAAACTTGCAACTGACGTAATGGTTAAACGCCGTAGACAGACACAGATACTTTCAGCTCATTTTATTTTTAGCGTTTTTCTTTTCCCTCACCATTATCTGAATGTCATCTCAAACAACGTCTGAATGTCATCTCACCAACGTCTGAATGTCATCTCACCAACGTCTGAATGTCATCTCACCAACGTCTGAATGTCATCTCACCAACGTCTGATTGTCATCTCACCAACACCTGATTGTCATCTCACCAACACCTGAATGTCATCTCACCAACACCTGAATGCCATCTCACCAACACCTGAATTTCATCTCAGCAACATCTGATTGTCATCTAACCAATATCTGAATATCATCTTACCAACATCTGATTGTCCGCTCACCAACATCGGATTGTGGTCTCTTAAACATCTGATTGGGCTCTCGCCAGCATCTGATTATCCTCTCACCAACATCTGATTGTCCTCTCGACAACATGAGATTGTCCCCTAACATTAGTAGATGAGTACGGTACATCTTGAGTCGCAGGAAAACACTGAGTATGAATATGTAGATAACCCTAACTGCTTTGTAAGCTCTCCCTCCACAAAGATATAAACACAACAAGAAATCAAACAAATGTTGGTAAAGGGGTTAATGTGCCATCAACTGCCGTCCATATATAAATATATAAGGATGGGCTGGGTGAATGAATGATTAATGGATTTTTTTTTTTACGATTATATTATTTCTTTACATTCCATTACCGCGCATATTGGGAATGTGTCTAAATATTTTCATTGCGCATTCTGTACGAACGTGTGTATTGCATTTTCAAAAAAAATGAAGGATAATAATAATAATAATAATTGACTACCACAATTCAATTCTAAAAAAATGATGCATAAACCTGAATAATTCCCTAAAACACCGTATAACAGTTAACACACAATCATAATCATCTATAATACTCTAAAGACTCTGTAGCTCTCAATAACACTCTACTATCTAAATAAAACCTCGATAAATCTCTGTCATCCCGTATAATCCTCTACAAAACTCTAAATTGTTATACCATAACACGCTCAAAACATTCTTAGCATATATATAAACCTCCATAATCCTCTGTAAGCCTCTAGACTCTAGAGCCTCCTCCTGTAAAACTGTATAAACTTATATTAAGCGCGTTCTATAACCCTGCATAACTCTCCCGAGCAGTGTTTCCGAAACTTTTTTATGCCATGCCCCACCTAAGCCTTTCTAAAATTAGTATGCCACCCGTGTATCATATGCAAAATTTAAAAATTCCAAAATAGGGTTGTTCACTGAAAAAAAAATTGAATGATAGGTTTTAGGAAGAAATCGCTGGGAAATTTTTGAGGAAACATAATAAGTAAATTTTTAAGACATACAATGGAGAACTGAAATTAAAGTACGAAATAATTTTATTGAAGGATTTTTCTATGTTATTTTAATTATTAGTAATGATTTATTATCTAAATTTAGTTAGATATTTGTGCTTGATGCTTGCGGCAAAGAGATTTTGTGCTAGGTTCCAATTTTGATAGCTTCCGACTCAAGTCTCCCCGCTGTGTTACATACAGCCGATTTCTTTGCAGCAAATTATTTATGACACTAAACATGAATATTAAAGCGGTAACAATAGTTTTTTTGCGCCTTTGGTTGAATTTGGACATTTGATTACTGTTTTCCTCACCAAGTAACGCCATCGTTCATTTTATATTATTATTATTTCTTGATACTGCATATTTGAAACATCAGACACATCCACTAACATTGGCTGCGTCGTCCAAGTTGTAAAATCAGTTTGTTTCAAATCTGAAAATCTTTCTTTTTAAATCAGCCGAAAGAATTTTCAGATGATTGACAATAACAAGCATAGCGGTATCAGTCACTTCACATTTATTTTGAAGCCATCGAGAATTTTCAAAAAAATGTGTTGTAAATATTTTTCTGACATAATTCAATAATGCTTTAATAGCATTGATACACTTTATAACTGAATTTAGTACTTCATCTAGAACAGGCGAATTTTTTTTTAGCAACTAAGTTTCCTTATTGATAACACAATGCACAAGTGAAATTTCTGGATTTCTCATCTTTCATCAATTTTAAGAAGCCATTTTTCTTCCCCATCATATTAGGAGCACCATCTTCAGCACAAGATGTGATTTTTTCATTGGTATATTATTGATATCTAAGTAATTTTGTAGCTTATTATGTATATCGTTGGCGGCAGTGGTGCTTTCTAATGAATTACAGCCCAACATTTCTTGTGTCAGTGAATACAGCCATGTGATATATGTCAATCAACACAGTGATGTGATGTGTCATTGAATACAGCTATGTGATATGTCAATCAAAACAGTGATGTGGTGTGTCAGTGAATACAGCTATGTGATATGTCAATCAACACAGTGATGTGGCGTGTCAGTGAATACAGCTATGTGATATGTCAATCAACACAGTGATGTGTGTGTCAGTGAATACAGCTATGTGATTTGTCAATCAACACAGTGATGTGGCGTGTCAGTGTATACAGCTATGTGATATGTCAATCAACACTGTGATGTGGTGTGTCAGTGAATACAGCTATGTGATATGTCAATCAACACAGTGATGTGGTGTGTCAGTGAATACTGCTATAGGATGTGTCCGTGAATAAAGTGATGTGATGTGTCAGTGACTGCTGGGTGCCTCGGGCTTTGCTCACCACTTTGAGTTAAGTGACATTTCAAATAAGGATTTATTTTTTTTATCGACGGAAATGGGAAGGTCGGGCTTAAGTGAAA